GGGGTCAGCTGACCCGCCCCCTCACGGCCTTTGTCGAGGGTGGAGGTGGCAGTGTTGGGGTGGGGGCCAGAGAGAGGAAGGAAGTGGGTCTGGGCCATCTGTGCACCCACAACTACCCGCTCCAGCAATGGGGCGCCCCGACGACCTTGGTCCTTACAGAAACCACTGGGGGAGCTTGCTGGCTGTTCAGAACCCAGGCCCACCCGAGGCAGATTCAGCAGCCCTGGGAGGGGCTGGGGATCTGCGATTTAAACAAGTGCCCAGTGATCCTGGTGCAGAGTTCCCGGGCTCCACTGCCAGAAACTCTGCTTTGGAAGTCTGCACTGGGGAGTCCTGGATATCTTATTTTTGCATCATTCCTTCACTCACCACATTCTAGGTTAAGCACCCGTTAGGCAGCTAGGGCTGTCCTGTACCTGGAAGAATGGCTGCCCACTCTCTGATTCATATTTACTGAGCACTTGTGCCCGCCTGGTATGGTCTGAGCACTCTGCCTGGATTCGTAGCTCATTTAATCCCTAAGCAGCACTAAGGATGAACATACCCAGGCTCACCTGGGCCTGAGACCCAGGGGCCTCTCAGCCTACTGTCCCTTTCTATCACGGGTTTGTAGCTTTTTAAAAAAACCTTTTCCCAGGCATGTAGGAGGAGGAAAGACACACTGTGGTCTTGGTTATAGAAGAGAAGTTGGCTGTAGGGAGGTGAGTTCGGCCATCCACGGGCCCGGATCTGAGCTCTTGGGGAGGGCGCTTCCGTTTAGGTCATGAGGGACTGGAGCAGGTATGTGTGTGAGGCCCCTGGAGACTGGCTGTACCTGTGGGTGGGGCTCATTGTCATGGCTGAAGGGGTCCAAGTGTCCAGCTCAGGGCAACTCCCACAGCAGCTGAGCCCCTTCACGCCTGGCTTCTTCTGTGGCTTGGCCCTCTAAACTTTCCTTCCCCACCTACAAGATGGGCTGGGAGTGGTGCAGGGTCCTACATTGTCTGGGAGTGAGGCAAGTTTAAGTCCCAGCTCCACCTCTGTTCTTTGGATTTTGGTTTCTTTCTTTTTTAATTCTCACCCGAGGTGGTGGAGGAGGGAGAACCCTCACCCAAGGATATTTTTTCCAGTGATTTCCAGAGAGACTGGAAGGGAGGGAGGAGGGTGAGAGAGAGAGAAACATCAACGTGAGAGCGACACATTGATTGGTTGCCTCCCACAGGTGCTCCCACGGGGGCTGGGGGACCTGCAACTGAGTGCCTGTCCTTGACTGGAATCGAACCCTCTACTCTTTGCCAGTGCTCTAACCACTGAGCCCCGCCAGGGCTGGATTTCTGTTTCTTTATTTAAAACTCAAATCTCCAAATATTTGATGACAGATGATTTGACTTTGGGTGGTAGACACACAATGCAATATACAAGTCATGTATCATAGAAATGTATACGTGAAGCGTATATGATCCTATTAGCCAACGTCACCCCAATAAATTTAATAAAAAAATAAATTAAAGCCCTAGCTGGTTTTGCTCAGTGGATAGAGTGTCAGCCTTCGTTCGGACTGAAGAGTCCCGGATTCAATTCTGGTCAAGGACACATGCCTGGGTTTCGGGCTCAATCCCCACTCGGGGGCGTGAAGGAGGCAGCCAATCAATGAATCTCTCTCATCATTGATGTTTCTATCTCTCTCTCCCTCTCCCTTTCTCTCTGAAATCAATAAAAAATATATACAAAATAAATTAAAAAATAAAACTGAAATCTAAACAGGTTACACCTTTGCTACAAAACTTCCAGTGTCTACAAGAGAAAAGCCTGAACTCAGTACTCAAGGCCCATGGTAAATACTGGTAAAAGCAGGGCAAGGGGTTAGCGTAGCAGTGCAGGTGGGGTGGTGGGAGAGGTGAAAGGTCTTGAAAAAGTTAAATTTTTTTTTATTTCAAATGTACATGACAGTGAAAGAATAATATAAGAAACAACACACGCTGTTGAAAAACATTGTATTATGGAAAAATGTAAACATGCAAACATACAGAATAATGTAATGATGTGAGTTTTAAAAAGAAACTGTCCTTTGCAGGGTCATTTCCAATCTCCTCTCAACACATTCCTTGCTCTGGCCATGCCCCACACTCCCAGGCACATGATGTTTCTTCTGCCTGGAATACTTTCCTCTCCTCATCTTTCAAGATGCAACTCAGATGCCTGTGTACCAGACGCTGTTCTAAGCTCTGCACACACATGATCTATCTGCAGGTTCTCACACGTTAGCAATATGCTCGAATCAGCCGGAGGGCTTCTTAAGGCACACCCTCCTGAGACCCACTCCCGAGCTTTGGATTCAGTAGGTTTGGTTAGAGCAGTGGTTCTCAACCTGTGGGTCGCGACCCACCGGAATCGAACCCGGGACCCTCAAGTCTGCAGGCCGATGCTCTATCCACTGAGCCAAACCGGTCAGGACTATCTGTGTTTTCTGATGGTCTTAGGAGACCCCTGTGAAAGGGTCGTTCGACCGCCAAAGGGGTCGCGACCCACAGGTTGAGAACCACTGGGGCAGAGCTTGAGAATTTTCGCTTTTAACAAGCCCCAGGTGTTTCTTGCTGCTGCTTGCTGGCCTGGGTGCCACACTTTGTATTATTATTATTATTATTTTAAATGTATTTTTATTAATTTCAGAGAGGAAGAGAGAGATAGAAACAGTAATACTGAGAATCACTGATTGGCTACCTTTTGCATGCCCCACACTGGGGATCCAGCCTGCAACTTGGGCATGTGCCCTGACCGGGAGTTGAACTGTGACCTCTGGGTTCATAGGTCGACGCTGAACCACTGGGCCACACCAGCCGGGCCACACTTTGTATTATTTTGTTTAATCTTCTAAATGAGCTAGGTAACAAGTACTCTCTGTTTGGGGGGAACTGTTACTCTTCTCATTTCCTGCACAGGTCTGAATATGTGCTGTTTGGACAGCTCAGTGGGTTCTGGTTTCACCTCCTTGGCTTCAGGAAGGGAATCCTCCACGTATTGAGCTTTGCAAGGGGCGGCTTGTGATCACTTCCTAGATGATAGCCTGGGGCTCAGAGAGGCTAAGTGACTTGTCCAAGGTAACACAGCAATGAGAGGGCGTTGCTGGCATTGAAGCAGGTCTCTCTGAAGCCAAGGCTTTCCCTGCCCTCTCAGGTGGGGAAGGTGTCCAGTTTCTGACCCCAGACATTGCTTCAGGGAATTCTGCCCCCAGTTTCAGAGCTCAGCAACCTCTGGAAGTGTGTCCAGCCAGTTCCCCACAGAGCTGGCTGAGATCCAGCTGCATCCTGGAGACCACAGGCCTCAGACTCCCACTTAAGTCTCCTGCTGCCCACGCTCCTGCCTTGATCTGCAGTTGAATAAAGGCTGGGCCCCAGGCAGCCAGGTTTGGTGGGCTTGGCTCCTCTCCTCTTGTGTTCTCTCCCCAGTGGCCTCCCAGAAGCCCTATGGCCATGACACAGCTGCTTCTGCTCATTGTGTCTCTCCTGGTCCTGGGTCATGTGCCTCCAGGTAACATCGTGTGTGTGTGTGTGTGTGTGTGTGTGTGTGTGTGTGTGTGAGTGTGTGAGTGTATGTGTGTGTGTGTGTGTGTGTGTTGTGTGTGTTGTGTTTTTGGGAGGCACTGTGCAGTATTACATCAGTAGTCAGGGTATGTGTGTATGTGTGTGTGTGTGTTTGTGTGGGTGTGTGTGTTTGTTTGTTTGTGTGTGTGTGTGTGTGTGTAGAAACAAGGAGTAGGTTCTCACCTCCTGGGGAAGAGAGGAGGCCTGGACCAATCTTTAAATTCTGGCCGCATCACTGGCTTTCTGAGCAGCTTAGAAGGGGCTGCTAGATCAGCCTGCACCTCAGTTTCCTAATCTTTAAAATGGGATTCACTCAACAAATGTTCGTTTGAAAAATATTTACTGTGTGCCAGGCACTAGTACAATTGCTGTGGATCCAGCAGTGAGAGAAAGCAAGGTCCTTGCTTTCATGGAGTTGATATTTTAGTTAGTGGAGACAGAAAAGGACCAAATAAACATATACTATTTCAGGTGGTCATAAGGGCTAAGAAGAATAAACGCAGGGCAAGGGGTTAGTGTGGTATGTGCATGGGGTGGTAGAAGAGCTGAAAGGCCTCTGAGAAGTCCTGTTTTTTAAAAAATATATTTTATTGATTTTTCACAGAGAGGAAGGGAGAGGGATAGAGAATCAGAAACATCGATGAGAGAGAAACATCCATCAGCTGCCTCCTGCACCGCCCCCACTGCGAACGCGCCTGCAACCAAGGCACATGCCCTTGACCGGAATTGAATCTGGGACCCTTCAGTCTCCAGGCTGACGCTCTAGCCACTGAACCAAACCGATCAGGGCTGATAAGTTCTTTTTTTAAGTTTTTAGTTCAAATGTACCTGAAAGTAGACAGAATAATATAAGGAACAAGTGAGCTTTAAAAAAACCTTTTATTATGGAAAAAGGTAAACATGCAAAAATAGAGAAAAACATAATGATGTGAGGTGTTTTTTAAAAAAAATCATTTTTTTTGAGAAAACTTCAAACCTAAATTTAAAAATATGGTATAGAAAACTCCCCGTATCCATTACCCAGCCTCAACAATGATCAACTTAAACCAATCCTGTTTTGTTGTTCACTTGCCCCTTCTGCCCAGTGAATTTTTTTGAAGTAAATTTCAGATCTCTTATCATTTTATATAAGGTAGGTTTGAGCAATGATCTGACTACAGTGATCAAATGATTAAATGATAAAATGATTAAAGCCCCTCTCACTGCCCTCTGAAGGAGGGATGTACAGATGAGGAATCTGAGACCCAGGCCACGCGGCTGGAAAATGGCAGAGCTGGAATTTGGACTCGGAGGGTCTGAGCTGGGTGCACACCACCCCGTTAATCAGTATACTGCAGACCCCCTTCAGCGTGTGGGTTCTCTGCCTCAGGGAGATTTTGAGATCAGCTCTGTATCATGCTAAGTTCTCTACTTCGGCAGGATAAAGGATGGGCCGGTTGGCAGGGCTGAATAACACCCATGGTATCATGTAAAGATTCTGTGGACTCCCTTTTAACTCAGGGAGAGGCACTTCTCCCCTCCACCTCCTTTTCAGCCCCAGTTCTTCTGAGTTGCTGGGTCGTAAAATATCGCTGTAACAGCCAGGTCTTGTAGAAGTGCTCCTCCTCCCACCCCATGTTCCCACACCCGCCCTAATGGGCAGTTACCCATTACTTCCTTCCGGGCACTTACCACCTCAACAGCCAGTGCCTCATGTTTGCTGAATGAATAAATGCAGATGCTACCCCACCCGCCTGCTGTGACCAAAGACCCTCAGAGAGGGTACAGGTCCTAGGTCCCCAAAGCCTTACCATTTACGAAAATTCTTTCACTAAATTTTAATGTTAAACAGGTCCGTTAAGTGTGTGAGGCAGGTGTTAAGGCTATGAGTTTGGATTCTGGAGCCGATTGCTTGAGTTTGAATCCTCACCCTGCTCCTCAATGGCCATGTAACCATGGGGAGAGTTGTTAATCTTTCTGTGCCTCAGTTTCCTTAACTGTATAACAGGGTTGTTATACAGTTAATAAAAGACCAACTATAATAATAGAGTGTTATTTTGAAAAGTGCTTAGAGTGTACCTGGGGTATGGATTAATCTGGACAAGAAATTGGTCTCTAACTTATAACCAGTGGTGTAACTTGTGACCTGTGGCCTCACCTTTGACCCGTGGTTATATACGTTCACAGTGGCCTAACTTGTGACCCCCGGGCTATCCTGTGACCTGTGGTCTTCCTCTCCACAGGGAGAAGCGAATTCAAACGGTGCTGGAACGGCCAAGGAGCCTGCCGGACTTACTGCACCAAGTATGAAACCTTCATGCACCTGTGCCCAGATGCCTCCCTGTGCTGTATCCCCTATGGACTCAAGCCTCCAGTGCCCCATAAGCCAGAGAATGTATAGCCGGTTCTGGGGCCGGCACACTTGCTCTTCATAAAACACATGCTGCCCGTCGCCTCCTCTTGCTTCTTGCTCACCACCCTCTACCCCCACCTCCTCCGGGGCTGGGGAGGGGAGAGAGGGGCGGTCCGGGATATAGAAGAGATGGTGGGGTGGTTGGTGGAGGGAGTGAAGTGCCTGAGGACAGCGGGCATTCATGACCATTGGAAATGGCTCCGGTCTTGCCTGTATCACGTTTGCTCCATCCAACTTGGGAAAAAATTGCTCAATTTCCCTCAGCCTCCCCAGTCTCCTTATCCATAAAGCAGGGATAATTATCATATCAGGAGATTAGAACTTTATAGAAGGAATTCAAGAAGGAAGGCAGAGTTCATAATAGGAGTTAATTGTAATAATCACAAGAATAACCAAGAAAGTGAGTTAATTATATTAAGGATTAATAATAGAGCTCAAGCCACAATTCTGGCATGCAGAACGAGGTGGTGGATTAGGCTTGAACGGTAGGTCCGACTGAGAGTGAAAGGACTTTTCTATGGTCCTTTATCTCCTGTCTTAGCATTTTAAGAGCCTGCCCAGGTAGAAAATAAGGATTTGATGAAAGCAAAGTTTTCATATAAACAGGGAGGAGGAATAGAGGAACACGCTGCCCTCCTAGGCCAGGGAACTGTGGGGGCAGCAAACCAGGGAGATGCCTGAGCAGGGTCGGGGAGGTGGGCAGACAGACACGCATTCTAATCTTCCTGTATCAGGATTGAGTTTAGCTGAAAAAACAGGAAACTCAATTTTCAGGAACTACTTTTTTCTCACGTAAAAAAATCTGGAGGAGGAGCCCTGGCCGGGAGGCTCCATTGGTTGGAGCGCTGTCCCCTACACCAAAGGCTGAAGGTTCAGTTCCCAGTTAGGGCGCATACCTAAGCTGCAGGTTCAATCCCAGGACGGGAGGCAACCGATCGATTCTTCTCTCTCTCTCTCTCTCTTCCTCTCTCTAAAACATATCTTCATGTGAGGATTTTAAAAGAAAATCTGGAGGTAGGTAGCAACCATGTCAGGGCAAGCATCTCTGGGGTCCTCTTGGGTCACATAACTTCAGGCCTCATATCATTGTTTAACTTTAAAGCAAGAAGTGGGGGGAGGGTTGGCAGGGGGTCGTTTCTCACTTTTATCAGGAAAACAAAAACTTGCCCTGGAAGCTCCCTCACAGACTTCTTACCTTTCATGGGCCAGCTTGGGTCACATGGCTGCTCCTGATGCAGCGAAGGCTGGGGAGGAAGTGTTTAGCTCAGCGGTTCTCAACCTGTGGGTCGCGACCCCTTTGGCGGTCGAACGACCCTTTCACAGGGGTCGCCTAAGACCATCAGAAAACACATATAATTACATATTGTTTTTGTGATTAATCACTATGCTTTAATTATGTTCAATTTGTAACAATGAAAATACATCCTGCTAATTTTATGGTTGGGGGTCACCACCACATGAGGAACTGTATTAAAGGGCCGCGGCATTAGGAAGGTGGAGAACCACTGCTTTGGTGTCTGGTATGAGAGGGACCTGGGGATACGCCAGAGGCAGCTGGAGGGGAGGAGGGAGACCGCAGCTCTTTCCCAGCCAGGGGGAAGCCAGGAGGGAGCATTCAATTAACCTAATAAAGCGTGCACCTGCATCTCAGTCCTGCTTTCGAGCCTCCCAGTAGGTTCTGAAGACATTGACCTGGGAGCCACCAGGCCTGTGTTAGGACCCAACCTGGTGGGGGCAAGGTGGTCATGGATTCAAAGCCTAGAAGCAGGACAAGATAAGAACCCCGGAGATGACCTCAGAATCACAGCGAGCTGCATCTCCACTAGGCCTCAGTGAGTCCGCAGGAGGCCAGACCAGTTCACCAGGCACCAGCCATCGCTGAAAGCCAGTGACTGGCTCAAGCCACCTAGATCCCAGCAGATGGCAGCTGCACCCAACCATGGAGTCTTCCCACCCTGACCAGCCTTCATGCTGGGAGGAGCAGGGGGAGGAGAGGAGGCACCTGAAAGACAGAGCAATTATACAGAGACCAAGTTTCTCCGAACTCAAGAAACCTCAAGAGAATATTTAAATTGTTGAATTAGACCAAGTTTTCAACTGGATTGAACTAAATTTAGCTCTGCACTCTGACCCCTCCCACCCAGTTGCTCTACAGAGGGTGATGAAGCCAGGTTTTCTTTGCACAGTCTCAGATGTAGTTGGAGGGCATTGGTGACCTTGCTGCAGAGAAGATGATGGTGATTTCTGGAGTGAGGAATCAGACAGACTCAAGTTCAGACTCCAGCTCTGCCAGGTACAGGCCACAGGCTGTGTGATCAGGGCAAGCCCCTTCCTATGTCTGATGTCGGGACTCTTCTCTGCAAAATGGCTCGATGGCAGCTCTTAATGGGGCAGCTGAGGGGTCCGATGAGATCATCTGGCACCTTGTAAGTGCCCAGTCAAAGAAATGCTACAACTGCTACCACTTCTACTGAGCAAGGGGAGTGCCACTAGCCGCCTTCTCCACGTCATTTCAGACTTACAGGAAACCTGTAAGAGTAGTCCAAAGAATCCCCATAGACCCTTCACCCAGTTTTTTCAAATACTGACAAATATTGGCCTGGCTAGTGTGGCTCAGTGGTTGAGTGTTGACCTATGAATCAGGAGGTCACGGTTCAATTCCCCGTCAGGGGTCATGCCGGGCTTGCGGGCTCCATCCCCATTAGGGGGTGTGCAGAAGGAGCTAATCAGTGATTCTCTCTCATCATTGATGTTTCTATTTCTCTCTTCTCCCTTCCTCTCTCTGAAGTCAATAAAAATATATATTAAAAAAAACCATACAAAAAAACTAAAATTGACTTTCACCTTACCATTTCTCTCGCTCTTTTTTCTGCTTACTTTATTGTATGAATACAGTATATAATACATATAACATTTAAGAAAGTGTTAATTGACTGTTTACGTTTTAGTAAGACTTCTGGTGAACAGTAGTCTATTAGTAGTTAAGTTTGGGGGGAGTCAAAAGTTATATATGAATTTTTTACTGAAAATTTGACTGTGTGTATATATATATATATTTAAAACTTACAAACTAGTGTGTATGTATAATATATCCATGTGGATATAGATATCTATATATTTGATATAGATATATTATATATAGATACCTTTCTATGTACATATTTAATATGTATAATTTATAGAAATCTATATGCATTTTTCACATGCATTGAGATTCTCCTGTTGGAGCAGAGATTAGCAGAGCTTCTCATTCTGCGATCAGATGGCTCCCTTTGGGCTTACAAGAAAAGAACAAGGGAGTGAAAATGATGGCTGTTGTAGGAGGCCGGGTACGATATGGTGACTCCTCACTCTCTGCCCCACTTGGGTTGCTGTTGTTTTTTGTTTTTGGTTAATCTCACTGGAAGATATTTTTTCCATTGATTTTTTTTTGAGAGAGTGGAAGGGAGGGAGGAAGAGGGAGAGACAGAGAAACATCAGTGTGAAAGAGACACACCAGTTGGCTGCCCCCTGCATGCTCGGATCCAACCTGCAACCCAGCTACATGCCCTTGGCAGGATTCAAACCCGAGACTCTTCCGAGCTGGCAGGGGTGGGGCGGGAGGTGGGGCGGGGCAGGGCGCACAGCGCTCTAACCACTGGGCACACCAGCTAGGGTCCCACGTGGGGTTTCGATGGCAGAGTGTTGAGTGGAATTGCTCATTTTACCAGCATTACCAGTACATTTATGTTGGAGAGCCAGGTGACAATCACATATGCCTCAAATTACCCTTGAAAATCACTCAGAAATGTGCCTTTACGGAGACTGACAAACACAGCAAGTTTTTCTCAATCAATGGAACACAGTAAAGCAAAGGGACGGGTTGGTTATGTTTAGGGGACATTTTTATGAAAAATAAATCTCTCTCCGCAGTGGGCTCCCACAGTGCAGTGTGACGCCTTCATTGTCAGGTGCTTTGGCTGTAACGGAAACCGAGACAGTTCTCGCCTCCACTCAGGCACTGGCTCAGGAGGGATTCCCTCGGCTTCTTTGGACTGTGATTGCTCATGTTTGCAACATACACATATATCTCCCCAACCAAGGACTCATTTCCAGAGTGTATGAAGAACTCATAACCAGTCAGAAAAAGCTCCATAATAGAGTGGGCAAATATTTGATCAGACATTTTACAAAAGGAGGTATGTGAGTAGCAAAGAAGCCCATGAAAAGATTCTCAAAATCATTAGTCTTCAGGGAAGAGCAAATTGAAACCACAGTGGATACCACTACACACCTACCAGAATGATTAAAACTAAAGCCAGGCTGACCATGGCAAGTCCTGGTGAGGATATGGAGCAGCTGGAATGCAAATACATTGCGATGGGAATGTAACGTGGACAACCACTTTGGAAAAACAGTTGCAGAGTTACTTATAAAATTAATTAGAAATGTGCACATATAAATATTTCTCTATTAATGCTTATAGCAGCTTTATTTATAATGCCCCATAACTGGAAACAACTCAAAGGTCCAATAAGTAAATGGATACATTGAGTTTCATGCATATGGTACAATCCCATTCAATAAACAACAATAACAATTTACTGATACACATAACATGAACTGATCTAAAAAGCATCATGTTAAGGCAAAGAAGTCAAATACAAAGGTGTACACACTAAATGACTCCATTTATATGAAGTTTAAGAAAGACAAAACTACCCTGGCTGGTGTGCCCAGTGGTTAGAGCGTTGGCCTGCGCCCCAAAGAGTTGGGGTTCGATTCCTGATTCGATCCCCTGGTAGGTATATGGATGTTTCTCTCTCCCCTTCCCCTTCCTCCTTTCTTCTCTCTCAAAAAATCAATGGAGAACATATCCTCGGGTGAGAATTAACAAACAACAAAATAGAAAGGCAAAACTAACTTGACTTAAAAAGCGAGAAAAAAATTTCAAAAAAACCTGTGAAAACCTTATTTCTCTCTCTGTTTGTATGAGCACATGTGGCTGTATTTGGGCAAGTGACATGTGCTTGTGATGCAGCTGCTCTTGTCTCAGAAAGAAGAGAATCCAGGAAGGGAACGCTGCTAATGGCTGGATCAAAGGGGAGATACTGCCCTCTAGGGGTTGTTTTGGGGATGCTGGTGGCTTTTTTTTTTTTTTTTTTTTTTGTTAAAATTAATGGGGCCGCTACTGGAATTTAGTAGGTTGGGGACTCAGGATAATTCTCCGGCCTAGAATCAAAGGCTGTTTTGTATTATCAAGGGATGCTTATGCTTTGTTCTAATCAGGACTTTGCCCAAAATGTTCACCATTTTGGAAAGTCAGGACACAGACAGCAAATGCTTTGGGTAGTATTTGAGCTGTACGCACAGCACACCCTTTTATGCCTGCGTTTGTAGCTGTTACACTCATGCTGTGTGTGGTACAAGATCTGACTATTTCATTAGGTCTTAAAATGTCAGAATACATATTATTATAAAAGTTTCTCCTCCTTTATATTATAGTTAGCTCTTAATTTGATTTTTCTTGAAATTATGTGAGTAGATAGGTTATAATACTTACGAATATATTAAAAAAACACCTCACTCAAGGATATTTTTCCATTGATTTTCAGAGAGAATGTAAGGGAGGGAGGAGGGGGAGAGAGGGGGGGGGAGAGAGAGAGAGAGAGAGAGAGAAACATCAGTGTGTGAGAGACACATCGATGTGAGAGAGACACATCGATGGGTTGCTTCTCGCATGCACCCCTACCAGGGCTGGGGAACCTGCAATTGAGGTATGTGCTCTTGACCAGGAAGTGAACCTGACACCCTTTGGTCTGTGGGCCAATGCCACCGAGTCAAACTGGCCAGGTCAAATATTTATGAGTCTTATTTTAAGGACAAAAATGGGGCTTTGCAAAATATTTATTATGAAAACAAAGCATTTGGTCCAATAGGACCCCCAGTGAAAATCAAGCTCTCACCCACAGATTAGTGGGACCTCACGAGGAGATGGAGAGGGGAGCTGTCCCCTTCCTCAGATTTCCACCAAGAAGGCCCACGTTTTATTGATGTTCATTTCCCTCTAAGCACAGGGGCTCAGGGGTTCATGAGGCGAGGAGCGACATAGTCTTTCCTGTAGAAGTTCATTGCAAAGATACACGGAAAAGTGAATACATGGGACACTGTGCATGTCCCTCCCATTCACACTCTTCTAGCCCTACAAGCAGCCCTGGATGAAATGACAGGCATATGCAGACCAGGAAGCCACTCTCCCCTACGCCCCAGACACAGCTGATTGGACAAGAGGTGGGCACTTCCCCAAACCAAGCTAATTCCACAGCCTGGCCAGCAACCCACACACAAGATGGGTTGGTAAAAAATGTTGAACAGGATCAATCAGATTCTCTGTTACAAGGGTTTGAATTGGGAAATACAGGGAATAAAGTAGTTCATAATTGGAGTTGCAGCTGAAAAGTTGCCTTAATAAAAGTCAAGAGTGCTGTGGGTTGTGGGAGGAAGGTGGAGGAAAGCATAATTTGAGGAAGCGGAAGCAATGAGTAAATAGAAGCGATTGGAGGTAAGGCGGACAGTCCTCTGCTTTAACACATAAGGTAGTAAATGTTTAGATCCAAACATCGGTGTTGTGGGGTCTGCCACACTGTCTACCTCATCTTGGATCTCTCCTCTTATACACCAGGCTTTAGCCACCTGTCATTCTTTCCGTCTCCGGAACAAGCCCCTCGCCTCCTAAAAGGCCTATGCACATGCTACCTACCTGGAATATTCTGCAAACTCCCTCTCAACTCTTTGCAAATGAGCTCTCATCCTGCAGATCCCAGGTCAAATGCCACCTCCTCAGAGAGAGGGTTACTCTGATAGCGCTCTCATAATCCCCCACCCTGTTCTCAATTATTATACTCTTCATAGCCTTTCCATCGTATGTGATTATAAGTATTTCTTTTGTTATTTTTATTTATTTTTTAAAAAAATATTTTTATTGATTTCAGAGAGGAATGGAGATGGAGAGAGAGATAGAAACATTAATGATGAGAGAGAATCATTGATTGGCTGCCTCCTGTGTGCGCCTTACTGGGGATCGAGCCTGCAACCCGGGCATGTGTCCTTGACTGGAATTGAATCCAAGACCCTACAGTCTACAGGCCAATACTCTATCCACTGAGCTAAACCGGGCCAGGGCTGTTATTTTTATTTTTATTGATTTCAGAGAGGAAGGAAAAAAGAGAGATAGAAACATCAATGATGAGAGAGAATCATTGGGGATTCTCTACTGGGGGTTGAGCCAGCAACCTGGGCATATGTCCTTACCTGGAATGGACCTGTGATCTCTGGTTCCACGGAACACTCAGCCACTGAGCCACACTGGTTGGACTGGAATTATTTCTTGCTTAATGTTTTCCCCCCCAAATTTGTAGACTCCCCACAATGGCAAAGCCCATGTTTGTTTTATTTAATATTGTATAACTAGAGACTAGCATGGTGCCTGTCAAATAGCTGATCAACAGATATTTGCATATGACAAAATGAACAAATGAATATATGTTTTTCAGGTTTATGGTGCAATAGATCTAAGACATGGTAAAAAATTTCTTAGCTTCACAATAGTCATGCATTGATTACAGATGGGAATATGTTCTGAGAAATGTATTGTTAGATGATTTCATCATTGTGCAATCATTATAGAGTGCAGTTATGGTTAGAACATATGGTACATTGAACTCTCTAGGAAACTGCCCGATTGTTTCCAAGTGGTGGTACTATTTCACATTCCCACCAGCAGCATCTGGGTTCCAACTGACAATGCTTGTTCCTTGTCAACAATTGCTATGGTCAATTGCTTTAACGTGAGACATTCTGATATGTGTGCAGTAATATTGTATTGTGATTTTAATCTGCATTTCTCCAATATTTATAAATTTTCATGTTTTTATTTGCCACATACATAGCTTTTTTGATGAAGTGTCAGTTCAACTCTTTGCTTATTTTGTTACTAGGTTGTTTGCTTTTTTTTAAAAAATTGAATCTTGAGAGTTCTTTACATATTTTGGAAAAAAAATCCTGTATAAGACGTGCAATTTTCAAATATTTTCTTTTCTAGGACTTTTTGACTGATTTAGCTATTTCATTATTTTTTCTGATTTTACAATTCTTAAGGCATTTAATGTTCATAGCTTTTATCTCTCTTTTTTAAAAAGCTTGATTTTTATATATTGAGAAGACAAAAATACTAGAAAATATAAAAGTATAAAAACAATGATAACAAATATCTCTATTTCTATCATCCTGATTAAAAAAATAGAATATCAGCATTACTTCTTTCAATTCCTATATTCTTAGAGTTAGCCATTAACTTACATTTGTGCTTTATGAATAGTTTTGTCATCTATGTCTATGTCTCTAACAAAATATTTGTTTATATGTGCACAATTTTGATTAAATTCTGGGGGAAATATTTTTAAAGAAAGAGTTTGGTTGGAATTTAATTGAATCTAGGAAACAATTGGTATAGAATTGACATCTCTAAGATATTGAGTCTTCTAATTCATGAACATGGTATATCTCTCTATTAATTTAGGCTTTCTATAAGGGCTTCTAATTTTCTGCATGAAAACTTTGAACTTCTTTTGTTTGAAATAGTAACAGGTATTGTGATGTAGGCTAGGGGCAAGGTGGAGTGACAGGCTAACACAGGAATCAGCCAGAGGTGTTTATTGATAGAATTCAGGAATCTTTGGGGTTCAGACTCAGGATAGCTTCATCTGTATTTTTATGGCTTTAGGCTTCAGAGAACTCAAAATAACCAGGGATGTTGTTTTGGGTGATACTTGGGCTTCACACAGCACGGTTTACTATTTGTGCAGTAAACATAGATCCTTTCCTTTTTGAAGCATGTGTGGCGGCATTTGCCAAGAAGATTCCAGCATTTTTGGGTGCCACCTGACACGGAAAATGAAAGAAGAATGGAAATAATGTCAGTCCTAAGAAGAGATAGGTTCTGGATTTGAATGGTTTATAAAAAGGATTAAAACAGATGTGATAGAAGATCCTCAGTTTCCTCTGGTGTCCTTCCTTTAAAAGAATTGTGGTAAAGTATAAATAATATAAAATGCACCAGTTTAAGCATTTTAAACTGCACAGTTCAGGGGCATTAAGTACATTCACAATGTTCTGCAACCACCATCACCATCTAGTTCCAGAACTTTCAAAATCATCCCAAACAGAAACCCTGTACCCATGTATTCTTATTCCCCCCATCCTCCCCCACCCCAGGCCTGGGCAATCACCAATTTGCCCTCCTTTCTATAGACTTGCCTACTCTGCATATTTTAGGCCAATGGAATCCTATCTAATAATAGACAAAATGGTAATTGACCATACCTTCGCTGTGCCTCCCATCGGCTAATTACGGCAATATGCAAATTAGCTGCCAACAAAGATGGCGGCTAATTTGCATACTGCAGGCAGGCCGGGACAGCGAGAGCCACCATCTGGGCCCTGTGTGCAGCCCCGCCCCCAGCTGGGACCCCTGTGTGCCGCCTAAGCCCCATGCCCAGCCGGGACCCCTGTGTGCCACCTAAGCCCCCCCGCTGCCTAAGCCACACCCCCATCTGGGACCCCCGTGTGCCGCCTAAACCCTGCCCCTAGCTGGGATCCCATGGCAATTAGAGAGCAGGAGAGTGCTGCCCACAGGCAGCACCCAGAAGGGCCTGACCCCGGGTGCCCTGGCGATCCAGCGATCAGTGAGTAGGAAAGTGCGGCCTGTAGGCAGCACCCAGCAAGGCCTGCTCCTGGGTTGCTGTGGTGATTCGTGAGCAGGAAAGCATGGCCTGCAGGTAGCACCCCACCCTGGCCACAGCTCAAGGGAGAGTACAACATGCAGTGAAGGCCAGGAGCCTGAGAGATCAACAGAGAGGGGTGCCTGCTCCAAGCCTCCATGGTGTGGCTGGGGGCAGACCCCCAGTAGAAACACACACACACACACACACACACCACACACACACCTGCTCTGAGCCTCCAATGTGGCTGGGGGCAGACCCCCAGCGGGGACACACACACACAGACACACACCCACTACTATCATCTGCCTACACAATCCCCAATGTGGCGGGGGGCAGACCAGCCAGTGGACACACACACACACACACACACACACACACACACGGGATGCCTGCTCCAAGCCTCTGCTGCCAGGCTGTGGCCGTCAGTAGGACATCCACTAAGGGCTCCCAGACTGAGGGGCAGGCTGGGCTGAGGGAACCCCACTCCCCAGTGCACGAATTTTGTGCACCGGGCCTCTAGTCATATAATAAAATATGTGGCCTTTTGTGTCTGGCTTCTTTCACTTAGCATGATGCTTTTAAGGTTCATCCATATTGTTTGTTTGTCTTTTCTATATTGTTTTTACTTTTCTGTTTTGTTAACATTCCATCACTCTCTTTATAATTTTATTAGAAGCCCATTGCACGAAGATTCGTGCAATAGGCCTTCCTTCCCCTGGCTGCTGGCACCGGTTTTCCTCCGGCGCCCGTGACCCAGGCCTTTGGTCCAGCCGCAGCGAGGCTTGAGTTTTCCTCTCCTGCTGCAGCAAGGTTTGGCTTCTCTGCTGCAGCCACAGCGGAGAAGCCAAGCCTCTATAGTCTTCACTCCGGCTGGAGCCTTCAGTCTTCACTCCATGCCTGCATATGCAAATTAATATGCATAGGGTTAATATGCATAGTTGCTCTGATTGGCTGGTGGGCGTAGTGGAGTGACACAAATTTGCATGTTTCTCTTTTATTAGTGTAGATTTTTATTTTGCTTTGTTTTTGCCAAGGCACCTCATCAAGAAGGTGGCTATACTTAGTTTTGTTTTTAATTGTGGTAAAATACACTTAACAAAATATACCATCTTAACCATTTTTAAGTGTACAGTTCAGTAGCATTAAATACATTCACATTGTTTTGCATCCATAATTGTCATCCATCCCCATAAGTAAAACTGAAACTATATCCATTAAACAATAATTCCCCATTCTCCCTTCCCCTGAGCCCCAGGCAATAATCTACCCATATTATTTTTGATACCTTTCCTGTGCCAGAATCTTGGCTAACAAATAAACTAAAAGGCTTGCAAAATAGCTTTCAAAAGAACTGTTTGGACAGTGTTGGGGTAGGATGGTACAATGGCATCAACCATGAGGCACAAAAATCTGGAACAGTTCCCAACTATTCCAACCACACGTTTTGCAGCAGTTAAAGATGAAATCTGCTACTCAAGCCAAACAGTGACACTATCCCTCTCTTCCTTATTCAATACAAACTCCAAGCCAGCTCAGAGCTGGGTTTTCAGGTGCTCCCTGGTGTCCATCAGCTGAACAAAGCCTGTGACCTCTATTTGTCTCAATTGAATTATTTTCTTTAGACAGTTTGGTGCCATGACCACTCTCTATTTCATTAATTTATAATTTACTCTTTGTTGTTTCCTTTTTTTCTGCTAAAGATTTAGACCAGATTTATTTTGTGATCAAGAATAAGTTTTCTGCCGAAACCGGTTTGGCTCAGTGGATAGAGCGTCGGCCTGCGGACTGAGGGGTCCCAGGTTCGATTCCTGTCAGGGGCATGTGCCTGGGTTGCGGGCGCATCCCCAGTGGGGGATGTGCAGGAGGCAGCTGATCGATGTTTCTCTCTCATCGATGTTTCTAGCTCTCTATCTCTGTCCCTTCCGCTCTATAAAAAATCAATAAAATATATATTTTTTAAAAAAGAATAAGTTTTCTTTGAGATTATCTTTTGGCCAAAATGGGGGAAAATTTGTGCTCAATGAAAAACTACGTGTTGTCTGGAGCAGTGCTTTCAACTGGGTGATTTTGCCCCCCAGGGGGTGTTTGGTAATGAAAAATCTGGAGACATTTTTATTTGTCACCACCGGTGGTGGTGGTATTGGGGTTACCATGGCAATTACTGGGTAAAGGCCAAGGATTCTTCTAAGCATCCTGCCATGCACGCTACAGCCACAACAAAGAATTATCCAGCCCAATTGCCAATAATTGCCAAGAGTGTCAATAGTCCCTGGTCTAGATAGATGACAACCTTCAGAGCTAGCTGATTTCGATCATGTGAGAGCTATTTTACAACTTTATGACCTTGTTTGTCTTTCCCAATTCTCAAAAAGGCCAGACTAAAGTGACAGAATAGTGTTTGCTGGTGGCTGGGGATGGGGGTGAAGTAGGGGTAGGGGAGGTAACTGCTTGCAAAGGGGCATGGTGGAAATGTATTATACTGATTGTGGTGGTGGCTACATGAATATATACATTTGTTGAAGCTGACATTTTATACTTAAAACTAGAGGCGCGATGCACGAAATTCGTGCAAGAGTAGGCCTTCCTTCCCCTGGCTTCTGGGACCCGGGCTTCTCTTGTAGCCCTGGCTTCATCTGGAAGGTCATCTGGAAGGACGTCCAGTCTAATTAGCATATTATGCTTTTATTCTTGTACATGTGGGCATTTCACTTTGTGCAAATTTGAATTCAGTAAAAATGATAAAAAAAGAAACAAGAGAAAAATTCAATAGAAAGTGACAACCATTGAAGATAGGCAAAGGAGATTCAACACAGAGGCAAGAAGAGACCTTGAGGGGAAAAAGCAAAGCAAGATATCAGAAAAAATACTCAAACTATAATTCAAGATGTTCTTTAAATAACAGATGACTTGAAAATGCTGAAATTGATACACAGTGTATCTAAGAATGTTGGTGTGGAAGAAGGAAAATACAGGAGGAATATGGAATATTTTGACTACAAATCCTGTAGTTCTCCCTTTGAATAGAAAGTATCAATATGAATTCATGAGGTATTTTATATACATTTAAATGTGTTGATTTTCTCTCCTAGCTCTGTCTACTGAAAAGAAAAAGAAAGGACCAATTTAGTAGCATTGAATATCTCTAGCCCTAGATCATCGTTCTAGTTTTAAAAATACCATTTTCTTTTTTTTAAAAATCAGAGCTTAAAGAAATGGCTTTCATGTTCTGCAGCAGGAGTTGTACAAGATGAGCCTAGAATATCCTGTCATGCCAGATAACCAGATAAAGTCTAAAGACAAGAAAGGGATGAAGATATAACCAGTACATTAAATAATCTTAAGGGACATCAGATTTTTAAAGTGGACAAGACAAAAATAGGATGTCTAGGGATGCATCGTTAGCAATGAAACCATAAAGAAAATGCAAAGACTTGAATGCTATACTGGTAAAAGTCAAGATTTTTCTTATTTTTGGGAAGGGAGATAGTTGTGATGGGGGCAGGTGGGGTTTTTGTGGGTGTCAGTGTTCTATTTATTGATCTAGATTGTGGTTACTAGGTTGTGTGCTTTATAACAATTCATGAGGCTGTGCATTCATTTTATGTGGTTTCAAAATCTGTAATTTTGTGTTTTATTTTACAACACCCCCAAGCCATTGCAATAAAATCTCAATTTTAAATTCAAGAATGTCAAGATGAACTGTTGGTGAGAGTGAGAGGAAAGATGGTCTCATACACTTGGTTTTGGCCTCCTTGGAAGCTACTTAGCAATGATATATTTGTATTGGAGATACAACTAGAAACAGGTTAGAGATAGACACTGCCTAGAGTTTCCAGTCTAGTGGTGCTGGTGGTGGTGGTGGGATAGCCATTAAAGAAATAACTTCCCAGATATTTGATTGACTAGAGTTGTAATGAATGTTATAAAGGAAGAACTCTGGGTGCTATGAGGAGGTATAATAGAAAAGTAGGTGACATGTCCCACCTAAATCTAATATCTGCCGGGTTCTCAGGCTTCATATATACGTCCAAAATTTCCACAATTAACCTATCTTTAATAGTTTGAAAATATTAAAGTAATATATATTTCATTCTTCTTTAATTTTGGTTGCCAAAAAGCAAATTAAGCTGTTTTTGGGCTTTAGAGAAATAGTAAAGAAGAGTTAGAATGACAAAGTCAAGTAGGTGACATGTCCCACCTAAATCTAATATCTATTGGGTTCTCAGGCTTCATATATATGCCCAAAATTTCCACAATTAACCCAACTTAAATAGTTTGAAAATATTAAAGTAATATGTATTTCATTATTCTTTCATTTTGGTTGCCAAAAAGCAGAATTAAGCTGTTCCTGAGCTTTAGAGAAATAGTAAAGAACAGTTAGAATGACAAAGTCGTTGCTTAAATGAGATGAGTAGTTTTAGTTCATAGCAAGACAATGGTTTTTAAGAACCAAAATTTATCAGAACAGTCAGGATTTCCAATTTCAAAGAGCTCCTTTACATATTATTATGTGAGCCTGATAGATTCAGATAATACTACCTTACCATAAGCCATAGGAGGCAAAGGCTGAGGATCTGGCTAGAGAAACTTCCATTCAATCTTTGCCACCATCACACCCAACAGAAAGTAGAAAAAATGAGATGAGTAGTTTTAGTTCATAGCAAGACTAGAGAAACTTCCATTCAATCTTTGCTACCATCACACCCAACAGAAAGTAGAAGGGAAATGCTCTCCCTAGGAGAAAGTGGGCACTTAAATCCACTTCTTGCAGTAACAGCAGCAGCAGCTACAGGCCCGAGACTTCCACTAAAACCTCATACTTCACCTCGGCCAGCCAGGCGGATGGTGGACCTATCAGCAAGCTAGAAACCAAGGTTTTCTACCCCTTCTCCACTACTGGCCTGCTGGTCGACCTAGGTCCTAGAACATAGAGACCACTAATTTGAGAAAAGTAGGGGGAAGACAATCTTTTGCTATAAACACCCAGATTGGTCTGGACAAACGGCCAGCATTCCTTGCCTGAGCGTGGCCCAGTTAACAGACTGGGCACCCACATCATGGTGCCACCTGGAGGAGGATTGGAAATGGCTGAGTATCTCCCTCTGCTTTCCTGTGGCATAAAATAGACCAGAAGGTCCCTAATTCTCTGTGTTTCTGGTCAGGAAAACCAGTGAGAAGCTGAGAGCCTGTGGGACTTTTCAAGAGTAGACCTCTGTGCATAAGGCAGTGGGAAGGGGTGTGGACAGACTAAACCTAAGGGCCAGAGGGAAGGTTTGGCCAGTGGGACTCTGACAGGACAGATTTTATCAGCCACGGGATCCAGTAGCAAGTGCCAGCAGGAAACTCACTGACCGTAAACAATGAAGGACACTGTCCTAGAAGCCAGTGAAGGTTCAGCATAGGACCCTATCCCAATTCCTTATGCTCCCGACATAGGGCCTTTGCACCCCCAGATTGAATGTGCTACCCCACAAACCCACATGGCTTAGTCCTTAGCCTCCCTCAGGTCACAATGAGCCATTCCATGAGCACATCTTTAAAATGAAAAGTCCACCCCACTCATATTTGCTATTCCCCTTGCCTGTCTATTCTGTTCATTATATTCATCATTTGACATTCCATATGTTTCATTTATTTCAATTTTTTTTCTGTCTCCTTCAATAGAATGTAAGCTCCAAGCGGACAGAGATTTTGCTTATCTTGCTTTGTTCTGATTGGTTCACTGCTCTTTCTCTTGTGCCTATCACATGGCCTGGAACATTCAATCTATTCAACCATGTTTCCTGAATGAACCAATTAATGAAATCATGACATATCAAGTTAGTTTCTCTTAAACCCAATTCTATTCTGGGAAGGAGAAGGGGAGCATAAGAAAGGAAAAATGCTGAAAGACCGAATATTTATTCAAAGGGACAGAATGAACCTGGTAACCAGTTTAAACCAGAAAGGATGAATATTTAACTGCCGGGTTTAGGCACAGCTCCTATGCCCCACCTCCCTCCCAACTGTCCCACCAGCGTGATGGAAGTTCCAGGGGGAACTCAGATGAGTTACACAGAATAGAGAAGCCACCTGTGTTTGCACACCAAAATGTCAGCGTGTTCATTGCTGTGCCCTCAACCTGACCTTGCCACACAGGCACTATGGGAGCAGTTCGAGGAAGGAGGACATTGAAACGGAGCAGCCGGGCTGCTTGCTGGGGGTCCCAGTGTGAGAAAAAGATGGGCAGTTTCTAACCGGGTTCCGGGGCTTTCCTCTCTACGCAGGTGAGCCGGTTCAGGATCTTCCCACAGGCAGATACAAGGACTGAGGGCAGCTTGTTTGAGGAAATTCACACATTCCCACACCGGGAAGGTTAGAGGAAAGCCTGGGGGTGGGCAGAAGCTCTGGCAGCTGAGCAGGAGGGGCCAGGTAGCTCATGCTGGGGTGGCTGGAACGGGCAAGTCTGATGATGGCCCTTCTCTCCGTAGGCCTTCCCATGGCTCCCTCCCAGGCATTTCCGGCCCAGCCTCAGCTTTACCCCTCGCCACGCCCCTAACCCACGCCTCCATTTGTGCCAACTCCCTAAAGGCACCGTGATCTCTCCCACATCTGGACCTTCGCATACGGTGATTTCTGCCGGGCACCTTTTCTATTTCCACCTCTTTTCCTTCCCCTTCTGTCTTCTACACATTTTTCAGGATGTGGGGGGATCCCTCTGGGAGGATGCCCCTGGCCCTCAGGCTGGGCTGGTCCCCCCTCCATGGGCACCCCAGCCTCCTGGCTCCCTTTATCACAGCTGGAGTCACTCTGGGTTGTAAATGGTATTTGTCATCGCCCCCAGGGCCGTGCCGTTTACCTCTGTGACCCTGGCTCCCCACACAGGCTCTGGCACAGAGACAGCAATAGGAAACAGGAGCTTTTCTCTCCTGGTTCGGTGGCTGTGATCTTCACACAGCGAGATGGTTCTGGGGACTATTACTACAGTCCTCTGCTCTTCCTGCTTCTCTGGCCCACCCCTTCCATTCCCTCTCATGGTGCTAGGCCACCTGGGCACGCTCCCCGGGGAGCAGTGATGGCGTGGCTGAGATCTGCACCTGCTGGTGAAGGTGCCCTCTCTAGACGGCTCTGAAAGGTGACCTACCTGGAGTGAGCTGGGACAAGAGCAGCAGTGCAGTCACAGTCAGCAAAAGGAGCTTCATGGCTGGAAGTGGCCCAAGGTGGAGCTGCAAGTCTCAGGCGATGGCAAAGCTAATGGGGGAGAGATCCGGCCTCCCCGGCTTGCGCTCCCTTTGACTAATCGGAACAGCTGCCACCCACACGTGCCCTCAGCTGCCCACGGGCACAGCCCCCGCGCCCCCTGAGCCACAGTGTGCAGCCACGCACTCAGCTGGCACGCCGCCTTTCGTCATTTAGGTCAGCAGGGAGAGGTCCGCCAACAACAAGGCCCTTGGTCCAAGACTTGCACGTGTCCTTCCACCCAGCTCTAAACGAAGGGACCACAAGGGGGCGCCACGTACGCGGAATCCTCCAGACTGCGTGTGGGGTAGACTTCACAGAGAAGGTGACATTGAACAGTGTCATCGCCAGGCAGATGAGCCAAAATGGTGTTCCAGGCAGAGGAAAGTCTGTACAAAGGCTCATGTTGGTGTTGAAAATGAGAAGTATGACGTCCCTGGAGCTAAAACTGGAAGGAAAATGGTAGTAAGAGATGTAGCTCCTGGCACCAGCCTGGCTGTGCCCTCTCGGAATTGCCAGCAGCCACAGCCCCCTGCCCTCCGAGCACTAACCATGCACTAGGCCTGACCCACAGGCTCCTGCCTTTGGGCACCCTTCTCAGAGACCCAAGAACCAGCTATTTGGGGTTTCCCCTCTGAACTCTTAGGTTTTGCCCTGAGGACACCTGCAAACTTGAGGCTTTGATGGCCTAGAGGTGTGAGGAAGAGAATTCAAAGGCCAGACCCACTCAGGGTAAAGTTCAGTAAGAGATTCTGTCCTCGCATTAAGCTGGGACTACAGAGAACCATACACTGAGAGTAAGGGTGAGCCATTAGTAAACCTGCTACCCTTCTCAGATGTTTTTGTTGTTGCTGTTAAGCAGAGCAAGACACTAGAAAAGTCATTAGGCTATTGTAACTACAAGCTAATCTTCAAGTGTTTTTGTAGCTCAACTACAGTACCAACGGAATTGTAAAACAAAACAAAACAAAAAATGCCAAGCGTTCGAGTTATGATTTTAGTTGAAAATGTTCCCAGCCTGACCAGCAGGGCTCAGTGGTTGAATGTTGACCTATGATACAAGAGGTCATGGTTCGATTCTCCGCCAGGGCACATGCCTGGGTTGTGGGCTTGATCCCTAGTGTTGGGTGAGCAGGAGGCAGCCAATCAATGATTCTCTCTCATCATTGATGTTTCAATCTCTCTCTCCCTCTCCATTTCTCTCTGAAATCAATAAAAATATATTTAAAAGAGAGAGAGAGAGAGAGAGAGAGAGAGAGAGAGAGAGAGAATGTTCCCAAACTGGAAATGTTCCAGACATTTGACAGAAGCAAAAGTGAATGCTCTCTAAAGAAGGCAAGGTCCTCTAGACCCCCAAGAAACCACAAATAAATTAAAGGACAATTAATAGTACATATTCAAGATTATGAAGCATACAGAGAAACAAGGCACCATCAACAAGAACCCTAAGAACTACACCTACAAAACTTCAGTTATTAGAATGATGTGTGTGTGTGTGTGTGCGCGCGCGTGTGTGTAATGTTTAATATAACATTGAATCAGACTTTCAGAGGAGAGGAGAGAAAATGGTTTCCAGGTTATTTCAGAGAGTTAATGGTGGAGAATTTTCTAGAACTGATAAAATACATAAATTCAGAGATTCAAGAAGCTCAATGAATCTCAAGCAGAATAAATAAAAAGAAAACAACCTTTAGACATGTCATACTAAAATCGTAGAGTGCACACACACATATGCAAACACACACAATAAAAATATCTTAAGAGTAGCCAGACAGAAAAGACAGATAACCCCTAAGAAGCAACAGTTATGCTGACAGTTGACTTTTTAAAAATAATAATAATGGAACACAGAAGAGAGTAGAATGATATTTTCAGTGTGCTAGATGACATATTTGGCCATATAACCAGAAAAAGGTTTTATAAGAACCAGGGTGGAATAAAGACATTTCTCAGCAAATAAAAATTGATCAATACTGGTACCAACATACTAAAAGAAACATTAAAGGATGTATTTATGCAGAAGGAAAAATAAACCTATGCGAAAGGTCTTAGGTGCAAGAAGAAATGCTTAGCGAATAAAGTGACATGTATAAGATTAAACCTAAACAATATGGAAGCAACCTCTGTGTCCATTAACAGACAATTGGATAAAGAAGATGCGGTACATATACACAATAGAATATTACTCAGCCATACAAAGAAGAAATCTTGTCATTTGCAACAACATGGGTGGACCTAAATTTATTTCATTTATTATGCTAAGTGAAATAAATCAGACAGAGAAGCGCAAATACCATATGATTTCACTTCTATGTGGAATCTAAAGACCAAAACAAACTAATAAGCAAAACAAAACGGAGCAGACTTACAGAAAACCAATGGTTGCCAGAAGACAAGAGGACAGGGGGAAGGGTAAAAAAAGTGCAATCTTTTTATTTATTTATTTATTTATTTATTTTTTAAAAAATATATTTTATTGATCTTCCACAGAGAGGAAGGGAGAGAGACAGAGAGTCAGAAACATCGATCAGCTGCCTCCTGCACATCTCCCACTGGGGATGTGCGCTCTATCCACTGAGCCAAACCGGTTTCGGCTAAAAAGTGCAATCTTTTAAAAAATATGTTTTTAAAAAATTGATTTTAGAGAGAAAGGAAGGGAGAAGGAGAGAGATATAGAAACATTAATGAGAGAGAAACAACAACATGGATGATTGGTTGCCTCCTGCACACCCATACCAGGATCCAATCCTCAACCTGAGCATGTGCCCTGACCGGGAATTGAACCGGTGACCCCTTAGTGCAGGGGTCGATGCTCAACTACTGAGCCACACCAGCCAGACAAAAAGGCACAATCTTCTTAGACATAATATTGACAAAAAAATCCAGAAATATGTAAAAACGTTAACACGTAAGTGGGTTGAGATCCAGAAATGTAGATATGATTTAAAATGAATCGTTTTGGATTGAAAAATCAAATACAGAAATTAATAGCCTTTTTAGGTACCCGAAATAAAAAGAGAATATAATTTTTGAAAACACACCATTGAGCTTTTCTGGGAAAATGGTGGGTTAAATACACACACGTTTTAGGCATTCAGTTCCCAAGTTGCACTTAAACTATAGCAACTACAGAGATTTTTAAAAGTTATAATCCAATAAATAAGTGGAGAATGAGATGGGCAACACAATAACCATTTGGGATCTTGAAAGCAGATAAATGGGCTGGAACTAAATTAGCAGGCTAAAGAAAACGGAATTAAAGCTGGCAGTGAGGAAAATTAAGACCCAGCCCAATTTAAGCCACAGAATAAATACAAGCTTGGAATCTGGTGGCACCAGGCACATCTAGAAATAGGGAGAAACGTGGAGGAGTTAAAATAGGGAGGTTTAACTGAAAAGATGTTTAAGAACCAAATCCTTAGATACTCAGCCTCTTCTCCCTTTTATGCAGAGAGCGATTACCTTAGACCTACAATATGCAAAACTCTAGTATGACAAAAAACGTAAAGACTTTCTCTAGCAAGGGGTTCCAAAGTATCATTGAAAGTAAGCTTAATAAACAGAAAATACGAGGATTAATTGAACCACGTGCTGGGAAATGATTTAACCACCAGCCTTCATTCCCATCCTAACCCCTAAAATTCCTAGTTGAGAAGGAGAAAGTATTTAAAGATACTGACCATGGCATTTCTCACTAAATGGCCCAGTCAAATCACTTCACTGTCAATGTCATGATTGGCAAACCCCCTCCATACGAGCTTCAATCGGCATTTTAGTACCTCACTTTATTTACTTTTATTTTGTTTTCATTAAATTTATTGGGGTGACATTGGTTAATAAAAATATATAGGTTTCAGGTGTACAATTCTATAATACATTATCTGTATATAGTATTATGTGTTTCCCACCCAAAGTCAAGTTTCCTTCCGTCACCATTCATCACCCCTTAACCCTTTTCTATCTCCCCTCACCCTTCTTTCTTCTGGTAATCACCATACTGTTGTCTGTGCCTATGAGTTGTTGTTGTTATTATTGCTGTTATTATCATTATTACTATAGGCCCAGTGCACGAATTTGTGCATGGGTGGGGTCTGGCCGGCCAGGGGGAGGGGCTGCCGGTAGTTGGCTGGCCGCCCCCACCCCAGTCAGGGTGTGGGGGGCTGATTGGGGCCGCAGTGTGCATCAAAGCAACTGGTCATTCCGGTCATTCCAGTCTTTCCAGCGTTCTGGTCACTTGGCTTTTATATATATAGTTTTTTTTGCTTAATCCCTTCACCTTTTCCTCCCAGCCTCCTCTCCTCTAACAGCTGCCAGTCTGTTCTCCATATCTATGAGTCTGTTTGTATATTGTTAGCTTATTTTGTTCATTAGATCCCACACATCTCCGCCCTTCCTATCAGTCTCAGGGTGGCTTCTGTAAACCCTTCTGATCAGCTAGTCTTCAGTTGGTTATACAGGTTCATTGTTCTATATTTTAGCTGTAATTCCAGTTTGGTCCTGGAGGAGGTGAGTGTAACACTACCATCTTAGATCCATTTCACTTTTGAATATTAACACATACATGCTATCATCCAAGTCTCTCATCCTATATAATAAAGATGTAATATGCAAATGGTTGTTAGGCTGTGAAGCCACGTAACGACCAGATCATGGATCAGCAGGAGGGTGGGGCAGCGAGCTACAAGGGGGCAGGGCAGCAAGCTACGAGGGGAGGCAGGGGGAGCTACAGGAGGGCAGGGCAGCAGGTGGAGAGCTACTGGAGGGTGGCGGCGAGCTACTGGTGAGCTACTGGCCCACGGATTCATGCGCAGGGCTACTAGTAGGAAATAGACATCAAAACCAAATTGAACAAAGCACTCATGGAGTTTCTAATAAGCTTTGCAGTGTACACCCTTAAATATGAGTACATAGTTAAGGATCACGAGTCACGTGATCCTTGATTAGAGAAAAAGATCTCATTTAAAACAGACCAACTAATGATACATAGGAAATAGATTATGTAGGGAGGAAAATATCATTCAAATCCTCAGGGAAATTAGAGAAGCTACTACAACCATGAAACAAGAATAGGATGTTATAAAAAGGAAAAGTCAAAGAATAAGTAAGAACTCATAGAAAATAAAAGTATGATAGCATAAAATAGAAAGCAAAGATTAATAGAAGGGTTGGAAGATACATTTGTTAA